AAAAAAATTGTTTAAAATAAATTTTAATTCAATGAAATGAACCACAGTGTACAACTATTAAAATAAATACATACATACATACATATGTATGTGAGTGTGGTAAATGGTATGTATGTTAACAGGCGCATCTGTATGTATTTATGGAATTAAAATAGTGTGGTAGTAACTACAGTAAGTATACCCTGCATGGAAAATCCTAACAAGTGAAACAAATTTCAGGTTCAGGACTAGTTCTTTATCACCGAAAACGAACCACTCCGATGGTAATTAGATTCTTGCCAGTTAAAAAGCAAACGAATTGTGGTATTTTTTACATAACTTGTTTAGTCTACTTTCTAAAACTGCATATCGCTAGCTAAGAGTAAAAAGTTGCTAAGTCCACTTTTTCTGAAAAATTATATTTTGTTGCAGGAAGCAGGACCAATTAAAAATAATTCGTTTCTTAAAATATCGGACTACCTAAGTACAAATCGCTAGCTTAGAGTGAAAAGTTGCCAAGTCCCAATTTAAAAATTGTATGGGACACAGTGTTCGGAGAAGCAAAAAATTAGAAGGGCTGTTACGATTATAATAAAAATGCATCATCGTAGTATTTTTGTTATGCTAAATCTGAATGTGCCATAAAATTTTTAGTTTGACAGTTGACAGCTGTCAAATCAACTGCTAATTTCTCTAAAAATAAGAAAACCTCTTTGAAAATACCACTTATTAGGATTTTAGGTACGAATTTTATGTCAAAATAAAATTTTGACAGTCGACAGCTGTCAAACGGACTGCCAATTTCCTTAAAAAATCAGAGAATCTTTTTGAAAACGTTACTGATAAGGTTTTTAAACATGCTCATCACGAATTTTACATCAAATTAAAGCTTTGAGAGTTGTCAGCTGTCAAATTGACTGTTAATTTTTCTGATAATAAGAATATGTTTTTTTAAATGCTACTGATAAGGTTTTTAGACACGCTAGTCACGAATTTTGCGTGAAATTAAAACTTTGAGATTTGACAGCTGTCGAATGAGCTGTCAATTTCTCTAAAAGTAAGGAGAATTTCTCAAGAAGTAAACGTACTACGTTTTAAGGCTCACTGATCTCGAGTTCTATATTACATTCAAACTTTTCCAGTTGAAATCTGTCAAATCAACTGTAATTTTTAGTTGAGTAACACAATATATTTGTTAAGCAAAATTATTGATTTATTATATTTGATCGAACATATTTAAAATAAATTTATGATCAAATTATGAATTAATAATATATTATAATGCTATATGTTCAGCCCAAACAATTTTTTAAGATTTTTTATATCAAATTGGTGATTTCCGAAACTAAAGTTTTCTCATTCAGGTTTGAATTTTTGTAAATGAGACAACAACCAGCAAAACTGTTAGTTTTTTACCAGCTAGTCTTAAAAAAACGCGAGTTTAATTGAATTTTCCATAGTTTAAACTTTTATATTTCAATTCCCAAAATTTTCGCGCTTTTTTTTGTATTGAGCTGATTTTTTTTTTGCTAAGTTTAAAGTAGTACAGCCGTTATTAGAGTACAACTCCACAATAATCTTTTTTTCGCATTTCAGGCTTTCAACTATACAAGTCAGCTATTGCTGAAAGCCTGAAAAGCGCGGAACGCCTGAAAAGCTTGTTTTGGAGTTGCACTATTAGACTTAAGAGAATGTATGGAATTCTTCATCTTTAATAAGAAATAGCCTTTTCTACCCTTTTTCAAAATCAATTTAAGGGAAACTTTACTTTACGGCAAATCGTTGTGTGCGTGGTGAGCGGAAGGGAGGGAGCGTGGCACCTCCCACACCCCATTTTAGAGAGGGCATGAACTGCCGTTTTCAAAAATTTAACTCCCAACTGCCGAGGCGCCATACAGGTCCATTGGGAGTTCTTACAAAAATGGGCAAAAATTAAAATTTTTACCTGCGTTTCTGCTTGTTTTGAGTAGATGAAGGCAATAACTTGAGCCTTTCCGTATCGCCGGACAAGAGTAGGGCCGCCAAATGTATTTAATATTTCTTGTGCATAAAAGTGAGGACCCCAGGCTCTATCTAGGGGCTTCCATTGAAAAAGTTCTTTCTTCGTAGGCGGCCTCTGGTCGAGCTTAAGGATTATAACCCTTACTAAAAAGAATTCTCCTTTCTGTGTTGTCGAAGGAATCGGGCGTAACACCTTTTTCACAGAACACCTTTCTTTTGTCAAGTATGATCCTCTGGCAACATGTACACGTGGTAAATAAACACGTAATAAGTAGCTTTGTAACCAGCAATTGATGGTATTTCAACATAGAATTAGTTAATGTTAAATTTATAAATGTACTTTTAAACAAAAGTGTATTCTTTTAGCAACGCGTGCATGTGATAAACATTAATTTCGGCCCGCCCATTCCGACGTAATATATGATATACGTATATATAGCCGTCAATTTAGATGGAGTTTAATCACCTAGTCACATTTTGTGTGAAGTTCTTTTGGTAGGAATGTTTTTCACCTCACACCCTTTTCTTAAAAATAGGAAAAAGAACTAGAATTTTTTTATTGTGTACTTTATAATTCCTATCGATTATAAGGTCGATAATTTATTTATACTCATCTTTAGGGCGCTGTGTTGACATTTTGCACATTTTTGTAAATTTTGTGTTTATTTACTTATATTTGGTGTATTATTGCATTAAATAAAAGCTGATAGATTTAACTAGAGTTTATTTATGGATATAGTTCCGATCTGTCGAGTATGCCTCAAAACTTCATTATCCTATATAGATCTGGAGACTCCTTTCGAGCAAAGCAATCCTGAGAGCTTCCACTTGGAGACTCATCAATCAAGCATGTTTACTACATATATGGATTGCTTCCGAACTTGTACGCAATTAGCAGCAGCTGATCGAGAGGAGGAAATGCCTCAAAGTATTTGTGAACAATGCGGGTTTGAATTAGAAGTTGCCTGGAACTTCATTAAGAAATCTGTATATGCAGATACCATTTTAAAAGGCAGCCTAGAAAGCAAAGAAAATGTAAGCATTGTGCTTCTTGGTGATTTTGAAGAATATGAAACAGAATTCGAAGTAGCAGATGAGGAAGTATTGTCATCAGTCAGCGATGATGTAAGAAGTTGCTGAATTTTTAAGTATAAAAGCTGTAATAAAACTTAAAACAGTTTCCTGGATAACCAAAAACATTAATTGCTTTTACAGAAAAATGTCGTAACAACTTTAAAAGAGGAGGAAGATGGAAATGACAATATAACCACGCAAGAAACGGAAAACCAAGGTAATGTGCAATGAAATGATTATATTAAGAACTTTCATATCAAGTTTTATGTATTGCATTAGCGTTGATGGTGCTTTGTTTACATTGTGGCTCTTATTTTAACCCGAAATTTGAGCATAGCCATAATACAAGCTCTCCTATTTTATCAATAAAACTAATCGAAGAGGACTCTTTGAATAGAAACTTGAATATCGATTATTCAGAAAATAATGAAAAGGATAATGAGTCTCTGAATGAAACGATAACAAATGAATCTGCACCATTAATAGAAGCCGAAAAGCATTCCATCTTGGAGTTAATGGACGTTGGCATAGATGGTGGAAATATAACCCATGAGAGTTTCGAAGAGGATGATGTTAATACAGAGAAAATCATCATCGATGATAATGAAATCGGTAAAAACAAAAACATTCAATACGCACTTTATGTTCAAACAAAGCTAATACTTATCTTCTCATAGATTTGAACTCTGCCTTCTACTGTTCAACTTGCCTTCAATCATTTGAAACTCGTCGAAAGCTATTGCTTCATTCTCGAACTCATAAAGCCTTTGATGGAAAAGCTTCTATTTGCAAAATTTGCCATCAAAAAGTAACTAAAGGAGAAACAATACGTCAACACATAAAAAACAATCATTCAAAGATTATACAGTGCAGTGAATGTGAATATCGATGTCAGGAAGTTAAAATGGAAGACCATGTGCGTCGAACTCACGACAATTCGATTACCTTTCCTTGTAACTTTTGCGGTCAGTTAGAATCTATTATGAACATGATTGATTTAAACAAAGATGATTTTTGCATTCTTCTTAGATAAAACGTTCTTCTCTCAGACCTTATTAAATACGCATCATAAGTACCACCAACGCAAAGAAGTTAGTGTCAAATCTGATGCCTGTCAAATATGTGGTAAGCGATTTTCCACACAACACTACCTGCGCTTGCATTGTGAAGTACATCGTAACGAGCGACAACTTCACCAATGTGACTATTGCGATAAAGTTTATGTCAGTAAAGTAGCTCTGGAAAATCACATCCGCCTTCATAAAGGCGATACAATAAATTGTGATCAATGCGGTGTGTATTAATTTCGAAGTAGATATTGCACATTAAAAACAATACGAAAAATTTCAGGGAAGCAATTTGTACGCCAATATGAATTAAATGTACACATGCGATTCCATACTCGGGATTATCCGTTTGAATGTGAAGTGTGCGGAAAAAAATTCGCTATAAAAGGGCACCTGCGCACACACATGTGGAGACACCAAGGATTGAAGCTACAATGTGAAGAATGTGGAAAGCTATTCACTTCAACAAAAGCATTGCAAGAACATTCTTTTGTACACAGCGAAATGCCTTTTCCGTGCAGTTATTGTGGCCGGGGATATCCCTCCAAGCAAAAGTATCCCAAATTCTGCTTTTGGAATATTGAGTTTATTAATTGTAAATAATTTATATGTTCACAGATTTAAAGTACACCTTAAATCGACGCATCTTATTGATCTAACAGAAGAGGAACTCCTTAAAGTTACAAAATTACAAACACCGAAACCTTTACATAGAAAAAAAACTTACTTTAGTACAAGCGGACAGTGTTATGAAAGAGATTGAAGTAAAGGATAGTGGTGGAGATGTGGCAAACGACATAGAGGAAATGTTGGTTAAACTTAATTGATACTTATGTTTGAGAATAAATAAATGTAATTGAAATCTAAACTTATTATAATGTTTTTTATGATTATATCTTATCTTATTATTAATGATTATATCTCTGTTACACGTCCCCGGTAAATGCTTTTTGTTTTTACTTTTACAATAAGCTGATCGATTTCCTCGACATCCGTCACTTTATGAACACCGCCGATATGGCGTCGCATCCTAAAAGTAATATGGCGAAACTTATCAAATAGAATATACATTGATACATGTTTATTCCAAACGTACTTTGATTTTTTTACAAATCCCTTGTCGCATATAGAGCATCGCAACGGTAAGCCTGTGTGCTCTTTACGATGCTGTAGCATTGTTGATTGATGAGCGTACTCTTTTCCACACAAGTTGCATTTATAACGATGACCTTCATGATGCCGGACGTGCTTATTCAAAACATGAACATACTTGAAACATTTATTGCATTTCGGACACTTGTATGGTAGTTCGCCAGAATGACTTCTTAGATGGATTTCAAGATCAACAGGCCGCGGATACTGCTTTGAACAAACTTTACATTTCAACGAAAGCCCAGTATGGCATTGTCTATGAAGCTTTAGACCGCCTTTGTAAAAGAAAGATTTTTCGCACTGGTCACATTTGAATTGGGGTTTCCGGTTTTCTTCATGAGTTTTAATATGGGTTTTGTATGCATTTTGAGTAAAAAATTTTCGCTGGCACTCGTTGCAACTTATAGACCTCTTTCTATTCGCCTGATGGGTCTGTTCGTGCCTCTTCATTCCAACTGCATCTTCAAAGGTAGACGCTGAACAACAAAGAAAACCGTATTTTTTTCACAAAACAATTACTTAAAAAAAGTGCGGAACACATCATTGAAACTTGAATAAATGTTATGCGTTAACATTTTCTTGTGCATTCACCACTTTTTCAAATCCAATATTATTCAAAACCAAACTAATCGGAGCTTTACCGAAATCTATAAGTAGTCCGTAAAGTACAAGCTCAAGGGCTTTAAAATAAATATATTTATTTATGGGCAGGAATTATTTATGCACAGTTTTTTTTTTATATGCAGAAACTATAAAATTGCAGAATTTATTATTTAAATTCTTTAGATCGCGCCTTTGGTTAACTAGAAACAATTTTGAAATTTCATAAAAAAAATATCCCTATAACGAAAGTACATAACTTTGTTTATCTAGCTAATGAAATGTATGTAGTTGTTGAGTAAAAGTGTTCGATTCTTTACCGATTTAGGAAAAATACGATAAATATATGATTATTTTAATACAAACTTACGGCATGCGTAACAAAGCATTATTTGTTCATTTTTTGGGGTGAAACCGAGATATATGTCGTTTGTATTGATTTCCCTTTAATGGTTTACTGCAGTATTCGCAAATAATCATAGAAGATGCTCCACATGCGTTGGTAGCACTTTGCTTACCTATTTCTGGAGCCATTCGTGATAATTCCTTTTCCGGATCATCGATGCTGTTGGGTTTATATTTGAGGCGTTCCTCTAAACATACATTCTTCTTGGAATTCTTTAAATGCCATAATTCTGTTTCTTCCATTTCCGTGAGTAAATAATTCTCCGAGTTGTTGTTGTTTGTGGACTGCCGATTTTCGGGGGAACTATTCAAAGTGTCTAAATCGTGAGCTTCTCTTTGTTCTTCAATTAAGTATTCAATAGCTAAATGCTTTCAATGCAGACAAATTTTTTTTTTTTCAAGATTAAAAATGTATTACATATTTCACATGCATACACACATATGTTCATATATATATATATATACCTCTTCATGTGATACTTGCTCAGATTCGCAACAATTGGAATCATCGTACTCTTGCATATTTATCCACTCGAAACGTTCTGATTGATGCTTACATCCAGTGTCATATCTACATAGCTCCTGATCAGACTTTTGTGCTTTTCTTATGAATCTGAATGCATTTATTAGCTCATGTACACAGTCCTTGCATAAGTAATGCATCTTCATTTGGGATTTTGGTGACGTCTTATTTACATCCAGTTGTGTACATAATTGAAAGCATTCCATTAACGTTAGTGGTTCATTGATGTCGTCCATCGGCATATACCAATCATAAAGCTCTTTAAACTGCTTTTTACATAAACACGCCCGACATATATTTGCCATAGCCAAACTCATTGCAGTTTTATAAACAAATTAAGATGAGATAATCCGATAACCCTTAGATACGGGAATCGATTTTTCTGTTGCAACTACCAATAATTACGAATCGATTTCTAATTTTAAGTGATGAAAAATGCTGAATTAGGTTTGTTCCACAAGCTAACCGAAGAAAACTCGGACTAGAAAAATTGGTGTAGTTTTGTGTAAAATTCGGCAAACATTTGTTTATCGCAGTACCTATATTCTCCAAAAAAATTGTCCGAGTAATGTTTGTGTTGAAAATAATTAAATGCAAATTTTGTAAATTTTTTATTTGCTGAGAGTTTTGTGCAATTTTCCTTGTTTTCGTACGATTCGAAAATTGGAAAACAATAAACCTCGGCCATTGCTTATTTTTTTTTTTATAAAAAATCAGAGATATTATTTTTATCGATTGGTATATTACAAACCGTAGTCCGGTTGCTTAATGTAATTAATGTAATTTTATTGGTTTTTTCAATAAATACAGCTATTTTGTATTAAAATTTAAAGATACCATCACGCTTGTTCTGCCAGTCGGACGATTTTAAAAATCTTTTTCGAGGATTTCTTAACAAAAAGTCAAAAATATTCCCACTAATTTGATGGATATGACGTAAATGATGTGTTTTTAAGAGCTTCAATTTAAAATATTTATTACGTTCGTTACAAATGTATTTTGCAAATCGCACCAATTGCTTTAAGGGCTTCGTCACACGGTCCGTATTTATTGACGTTATCCAAGTATCGCGCTATTTATTGACGGTGTAGCATGCAGTATTCATGGTTCGTGATCTATATCGCAAAATTTCTAAACATTTTGTAATCTGGATCGCGGATCGCAATACCGTCAACAAATATAGAACGTGTAGCACTTTCAAAACGCGATCCATACATTTCGTCAGTGCATCTTTTACTCTCATAATGCGAACATCGAGAACGTAATCGCTCTGCCTTCGCTCTCGGTGCTTAAAACCTTTCAAAAGAAATTCAAAAAATTTTAATTAACATTGGAAATTTTAAAATATATTTGGTTCATACCCCTCCATTTTTTTGTGTTCACACGAAGATTGATTACTATTTCACTTCCTTAATTTGATGACAAAATATGTAGAATACGAACTTGCATAGCCAAGTATGACTGCACTTTAAACATCTCGTTTACACACCACAAACATGTGTACATCCCTTATTTATGTGTGGTTGTTAAAAATATTACCCAAGAATTTTCAATGCGTCAAATAATTTTAATTCCTAATTCATTACTGCAAGCTCTCCCGCTTTCTCAGTAGAATGTTGGGTTACATTTCCATTCTTCCTTTTCCCTTTGAGCGATACAACGAAGTTTTCTATTTCGGGCAAATTAATCTTGTGCACGTTCTTAATATGTCGGCGTACTCTATTTTTTTTAAAGATGAAAATATGCATTTTTATCTTAAAGGTAAATTACTTTATAGGCTTACTTGTACATTTCGGGGAATTCTTTTTCACAAATTGAACATCTTAACGGCAACCCTGTATGTTCTAGACGGTGTCTTTGTAGTGTCCATTCATATGAATATTCCTTCCCGCAGTCCTCACACTTCCACTGTAGTCCCTCATGTAATTGTGAATGCTTTCGCAGTGTGGACATTTTTGTAAAGGCTTTTTCGCATTTATCGCATTTAAATGGCGTATCACCCGTGTGGCTTCGTAAATGCACTTCAAGATCAATAGAACGAACGTAACGCTTCTGACAATACTTGCACTGTATCGTTTGGCCTGCATGTTTCTGTTGGTGTACAAACAGATTACCTTTAAACAAAAACGATTGCCCACAATCGTTGCAATGAAATAACGGTTTTCGACTAGGGTCGTGCGTCTTCAAATGATTTTTGCGTGCCGTTTGCGTAAAGAATTTCTTACCGCACTCCCCACAAGCAAATTTTCGCTCTCTATTACTTTCGTGTATATGTTCATGTTGAATCAAAGTGCTGCGATGTCTGAAGGTTCGAGCTAAGTAAATACTTTTAAGTTGCTTGTTGCAAGATATTGTAAAAAATACCCACTAAGGTTATTAACAAATGTACTTACGACATGATTTGCAGAGAAAAACTTCAATACTTCGTGTACAAGAATGTCGCAAAAGTTTAGTTTTTCTTACTGTTTTTCCGCAAATATTGCAAAACACGAGTTCTTTAACTTTTTTTGTTTTGGAATCATTTATTTTTGCTTTCCGTTGGATCTTGAAATCAGCCT